ATTACCCGGCAGTTCTGGGTGCCCCACGACCCTCTTAAAACCAAAGCTCTATTAGGAATGAGCAAAGAAGTTACATACAAACTTAGTGCAGTGTACACAGGGCACTGGCCCGTTGGGGGAAATGCTGAAAGGATTGCATTGCTCTTCAACAGGTTTTGTCGCAGTTGCCCAACACTTCCTGTGCGAGTGTCCAACCCNTGCAGTGTACACAGGGCACTGGCCCGTTGGGGGAAATGCTGAAAGGATTGAATTGCTCTTCAACAGGTTTTGNCTTAGTGCAGTGTACACAGGGCACTGGCCCGTTGGGGGAAATGCTGAAAGGATTGCATTGCTCTTCAACAGGTTTTGTCGCAGTTGCCCAACACTTCCTGTGCGAGTGTCCAACCCTCCCAAGGATGACGCTAAAGACACTCGGCAAGCTATTCCTGCAGATTGTTTCAGAGTGCAGCTGCCTCTCCCTGTATGACGTACTGAAATTCATTAAAGCCGCCAAGTGGCTGTAGGTTGCACGAGTTGTAAAATCAAAATGGCAAACTTGCTAATAGCCTGCCACCAGGTTAACAATCAGGGATGCCAACTATACTTAGCTATGAGGTGCCATATTGAGGATAAAAAAGTGCCAAAATGTGCCAAATAGAAAAATAAAAGTGCCAAAAAAGGTGCCATTCTTTTTAATTCTTCCCATTTAGCAATAAAATTAGAAACGCATTTCTAATACAAAAGTCCAGTGCCAAAGTAAGATAAACGAGTTGTATATAGTGTAGAAATTAGAAAATTTTAGTTGAGAAAAAGGAGTACACGCACAGGATTTCACAAAAATGTGTTGAAATATTACTATTTTTCAATAGTGCCATTTTAGCACTTTGTGCAAAATTGAAAAATTAAGTGCCACTTGAAGTAAAATAGAGCCAAAAATGGCACGGATTGAGCCATGTTGGCAGCCCTGGTAACAATCCACTTAAACCAACCAACCATTCATCTGAACCACTATTAAACGGCCAATTTTTCCATTTGCACAAGATTATAACTGTATGCTTGATTATAAACTAATTGTATACATACATAAATATGTTTTTTGTTTAAAATTGAATTCTTTTCGTTATTTCGTTGTTAAAATACATGTGTTATTTATTTTTGTACCGGCAAAAACACATTAGGAAAATATTTTTAATTGCATATCTTACTTGTTTATAGCGCATATATTTGAGTTTTGAATGCATATTATATGCTCATATTTTCGATTTTTTAGTGCATGAGATTCCGAGCCCTATTTATGAATAAAAATTGTTTTTAAAGGGATTTTTGGAAAAAATCCCCTCAGATGACAAACAGTTTAAGTTAAATATCTATATAAAAATATTGAAAAAATTGTTCAACAGAATCATAATAATGACATTTTTGATGCTGCTTTTAAACTTTTTTCAAAGATTTGTTTAAGAAAAACTTGAATAACTTAGTCAAAACTATAACACTATAGACTAGTGTGGCATCAGTGGAATGGTATTTTTTCACCCTTTTTTTTATTTCTTTGCAAAAAAACTCATTTACGTCCCATTTTTCTCTTTATCAAATACCAACACATCTTAATTCAACATGGAATGAGGCTCGTTTGTCTTACCCAGTGGTACGGTTGCCAGACGTACTGATTTTATCAGTACAGTACTGATTTTTCAACTCTTGTACTGATTTTATTCATTTCTTTAATCAGTACGCTAATGTCCTGATTTTTCAAAATTTGTACTGATTTGTACTGAATTTTCAATTCAAACAAAATACTTTAGGATTTCCTTCAGGTTTTTACATAACGCTGGAACTTCCTTAAAATGTATTGTAAAATGTAAGAAGAAAATAACTTATGGTGATTTCGTTTCTACGAAAAAATTTTGCCTTTTGATTGCTCCTTTCTCTTTTGGATTCCAAATTGAAGGCAAAGGGAAAGAAAATTGTGTGTTCGTTTCTTAAAATGTGTGTCTTGTAAGGCAAATAAAATTATTGTTTAAGAAACTAAAACCTCCCTATTATAATTGCCATTCGTACTGTCATCAGGTATGTAACTTGAAAATAGAAATCGCTGCATCTTTTAGGCGCATCAATATTACATAGTTACATCCCCAGTTAATAAAAGGAAGGTAATAATAAAAAGAAGGGTAAAAAGCATATTCTCTATTCTGTGAAGCTTTGTCAGGGGAGATGGTTGCCCTGAAAATCAGGTGGTTGTTTAAAACGACAATATTATGAAATACGTGAGCTGGACAAGGACAAGAAGGCAAAAGCATGCCTTTTTATAGGGTTGAGTGTAACATCAAACACATTTTGCACCGGGGAAGGGCAACATTTTTCGAAAGAAACGAAATCACTGTTATCTAATTATAGTTGACATGTTTCAGATAATGTTTGATATGCTCAAGAAATTAATGCAACAAAAAGATCAATAGTTTTATGGGCATATCGTCGGGTCCTTACGTTGCGATAATATGATGGAGCGATAATATGGATGGAGAAGGCTGACGTTTTGTTGTCGCGTGTTGTTAGTTATCTCGAAAATAACTTTCAGTTTAATAACAAAAAATTTGAATATTCGAATGACTTTTGCCTATAACTTGCAAATCTAATTATTTCTATTCAAAAATGTCATAAATATAACATAATTAATTGGCTTCTGTGTACATTGATGCNTTGCCATTCGTACTGTCATCAGGTATGTAACTTGAAAATAGAAATCGCTGCATCTTTTAGGCGCATCAATATTACATAGTTACATCCCCAGTTAATAAAAGGAAGGTAATAATAAAAAGAAGGGTAAAAAGCATATTCTCTATTCTGTGAAGCTTTGTCAGGGGAGATGGTTGCCCTGAAAATCAGGTGGTTGTTTAAAACGACAATATTATGAAATACGTGAGCTGGACAAGGACAAGAAGGCAAAAGCATGCCTTTTTATAGGGTTGAGTGTAACATCAAACACATTTTGCACCGGGGAAGGGCAACATTTTTCGAAAGAAACGAAATCACTGTTATCTAATTATAGTTGACATGTTTCAGATAATGTTTGATATGCTCAAGAAATTAATGCAACAAAAAGATCAATAGTTTTATGGGCATATCGTCGGGTCGTTACGTAACGGTTGCGATAATATGATGGAGCGATAATATGGATGGAGAAGGCTGACGTTTTGTTGTCGCGTGTTGTTAGTTATCTCGAAAATAACTTTCAGTTTAATAACAAAAAATTTGAATATTCGAATGGCTTTTGCCTATAACTTGCAAATCTAATTATTTCTATTCAAAAATGTCATAAATATAACATAATTAATTGGCTTCTGTGTACATTGATGTNAACTTCCTTAAAATGTATTGTAAAATGTAAGAAGAAAATAACTTATGGTGATTTCGTTTCTACGAAAAAATTTTGCCTTTTGATTGCTCCTTTCTCTTTTGGATTCCAAATTGAAGGCAAAGGGAGAGAAAATTGTGTGTTCGTTTCTTAAAATGTGTGTCTTGTAAGGCAAATAAAATTATTGTTTAAGAAACTAAAACCTCCCTATTATAATTGCCATTCGTACTGTCATCAGGTATGTAACTTGAAAATAGAAATCGCTGCATCTTTTAGGCGCATCAATATTACATAGTTACATCCCCAGTTAATAAAAGGAAGGTAATAATAAAAAGAAGGGTAAAAAGCATATTCTCTATTCTGTGAAGCTTTGTCAGGGGAGATGGTTGCCCTGAAAATCAGGTGGTTGTTTAAAACGACAATATTATGAAATACGTGAGCTGGACAAGGACAAGAAGGCAAAAGCATGCCTTTTTATAGGGTTGAGTGTAACATCAAACACATTTTGCACCGGGGAAGGGCAACATTTTTCGAAAGAAACGAAATCACTGTTATCTAATTATAGTTGACATGTTTCAGATAATGTTTGATATGCTCAAGAAATTAATGCAACAAAAAGATCAATAGTTTTATGGGCATATCGTCGGGTCGTTACGTAACGGTTGCGATAATATGATGGAGCGATAATATGGATGGAGAAGGCTGACGTTTTGTTGTCGCGTGTTGTTAGTTATCTCGAAAATAACTTTCAGTTTAATAACAAAAAATTTGAATATTCGAATGACTTTTGCCTATAACTTGCAAATCTAATTATTTCTATTCAAAAATGTCATAAATATAACATAATTAATTGGCTTCTGTGTACATTGATGCGTACACTCATATTAAGATGAATAAGACCTTTATTTTTCATGAACTATATTCTGGCGTTTTAGAGTAATATTTGTTACTTACATTCATAATTTTGCTTTGAACAAAAATGTACCGAAAAGTACTGATTTACTGTACTGGCAACCCTACCCAGTGTCAAAAGTAANTGCCACATATTTTGTTGTCGCTTATGTCACTGTGCCATGATTTTGTTAAAATTTGTGTAAAGTGGCGTACCACACTTGCTATAAATTTGGCTTCCAGTTTTTTAAGATTTTCTAATTTGGTGTCCTCAAACTAAAAACAAAAGCACCAAAAACGCACCAAGTACGAAACTCAAAAATTTTTGCGTTTTGAATACCCACTAAATTTGGTGCGAAAAGCATCAAGTTGGCAACAGTGAATGTAAACGAAAGTATTTTATGACGTCGGCGATTGGGTGGATGCTGTCAAATCGACGAAGAGAGGGTTAGCGGTCCGCGAATGGCGCGACCTTTATTTTCTGGATCGTGCAAGCAATCGATATGCACATACGTATGTATGTAGATATGTTTGTATGTCAGTCGTCGCATTGAAAGCAATTATGGTGCACCCAGTTCTCTGTTATCATGTGTGTTCATTTTACCGTGCTTTATATTTTATTTACACGTTAAAAACCTGAAAGTGCTGAATGCCTGAAGAAGAGTCTTTACAACTTGGTGGCTTTAAAAAGTTACCCTGGACGAAACGTGTTCATTCTGACGGAGCTTTAAATTCGCACATCCCATTTTCTTACGCCTTTGTAAAAGCTTTCACTTACTTTTGAGCCTCTTTCCACAGTAAAATCACATTCAGCTAGGTGCTCTGCCTTGCCTTTACACTCGATACCGCAAAGTGGCCAGCCGCACTTATCGCACTCAATATAGTCAGAAGGTTCAATGCCGTTCAAACATCCAAGGCACACTGGACTTGTTACTTGGGACGGTGTACAAATTAAGGGTGCCTCCTTCATAATTATTTCGAAGGGCTTTATGCTGCGAGTTGCCACCAAACATCTTCCCAATTGATCGCTATACTCCACCTTTAAATACAAATTGCATGGTCAATTAATTTTACATTATTTTTGCAATTACTTATGAATAGATATCTGTTAAATACCCCGCAAACCAAAGTTCCCGAAATCTTAACGAAATCTTTAGGAGTATCTCATTTCTGTAACGGTTTTAAGAAGAAAATTACATAAAGGGGTTGACACGAACTCGTAAAGAAATTTTAAGGAATTGGTAAAGATTTAATCCGATTTTTTCCTGAATTTCCTAAAATAAAATAAACTGTGCACACTTCGGTTCTTTTACGAAGTTTCGGAATGAAGAATTTCTTGCAGAATTTTTTTCAGAAATTTCTTTTCGAGTTCGTTTCAACCGCTTAATACAATTTTCTTTGAAGATTCGTAAAAAAATCGTTACTGAAGTGAGATTCTCCTAAAGATTTCGGGAACTTTGGTTTGCAGGATACATACACCTTGTGTGTATGTTTTTATGTACTCGGATGTAATTTCAACATTTGATTTTTAGTTAACAAGTTATTTAACAGGAATCAGACACATACTTTGAATGGTCTGCAATCGACTTTGTGCACCTTCCAATGTTGTTTCTGGTGCTCCTCGCAACAATAGAAACTTTGATTACAATTTGAACATTTACTTTTAGTTGGCTCACCACACACTGCACAAGCGAACATGTTAGTTTTTCGAATTTATGTTAATTTAACTTAAAACCGATGAAATTCCTACAAGAATGCCGGTTGAAAGACGTCTTTAATGCAAAAATCTTATTTAAAAAACTGAGTAGATTTTATATGAACCGCTGCATCCAATAGCGTAATACATACAAAATTTCACAAAGTACAATACTAAAATTAATTCATCCAAAAATAGATATTTAAAGGTTCTCGCTTCTCNAATACTAAAATTAATTCATCCAAAAATAGATATTTAAAGGTTCTCGCTTCAACAAGATGTGAATGGGTAAAGGGTGCCATGCAATGTGACTACACATGTATGTACATATGTATTAGGGATGTTAATTTTTTCGCTTTTACGATCTCGGCATTTTTGGGATGTCGTTATCACAATACCGGGAGTAGTCTCGGGATTTATATATTCATTACTTTTCAACAACTTAAATCGAAAACATTGCTTCTATCTCTCCTACCATAAAATAAATAATAAATAAAGGGGTTTCAAAACTACTTTTTTATTTAAAGCGGCATTTTTATTTTTTCTCTCTGACGTCAGGATTTATTTGAAAGGATCTTGTAATTTCAGAGATATGATTAATTCCAAAAATTTAATGCAATGTGGAATAAAAATATGGGTACCAAATGAAAGATTAAATTTCTTTAGAATTTAAAAAAATTAAAATTTTTTGGATTCACAAGGACGAATAGGTAATTTTTTAAGCTGATCAAGTTAGAAGGACGAAATTTGAGGATGTTAGCGAGTTTATATAAGTCCTTAACATATAATGTTTTCAAAAACTAATATTGCGAAATTTCAAGGACAAAATTTTAAAAGGACAATATCAATACTTACCGGTTGTTATGCACCAAAAAATTGAATCTGTTTAAATTCTACAGAATTTCCTCTTTAATTTTATACCCATACTTCTTCTTTTTAAATCATTTTTGAATTACTGACGTCAGAGTGAAAAACTAAAAGCGCAATTTTACTATATTTGGCCCGTAGTTTCGCGAATATATTGATTTCTGTGTGTAAAATTTACTATCGCGGTGTTATATGTATAATGAGCTAGACATTTAAAATATAGCCAATAATGGTCAAGAAAAGGAGTTTCTATTATTGCCAACAGCGCAATTTACAAAACTCAAAAATTCCGGGATTGTTTGCAAGAATCCCGGGATATTTGGGACCATAAAAAGGGCGGGATCCCGAGATCCCGGGATTCACATCCCTAGTGCTTGGTATGTATGTATGTATTTTTGTACGTCGGTTTGTTCGAGATCTATACGTTGTAGTAAAATTACCCAGTGCCAACCTAATGCGGTTATAATTGCTTTAGAACCATAATTAGAACGCGTTAATTCTCTTTTCGTTATATTCAACTGGTGAATTTAATAGGGCCGATGTATGCATCCTTTTTCGCCAGAAGAAAACTACTACGCTCTGCCTTAGTTTTCTGACAGTTGGGCCCATCCAGTTTTTTTTGAGGGGAATGTGGTATTAACTGACTTTTTCTTTTTGCTTCGCTAACTTAATAATGAAATGAAAAAGTTGCATAAGAAATACATTTGCAACAAAAATTAAAGTTTATGCAACCCTAAGATATTAAATATGTAAGTCAGCAATTCTTACAAATTGCCTGAAATTGAAGATAACCGTTTTCGTCTAACAAAATCATATATGTTTGTATGTATGTGGGTAATTTCCAAACAGAGTGCTATTTTTTGTCCCCCCCCCCTTTTTAAATTCTTTTATTGTGGTAGAAAACGAAAAATCAATTATACGTGGTTTTCTATTATAATATTGTCCCTCCGAATTTTCGAATTTAGCAGAATGCCACTTTTTTAATTTTGCCGTGATATTTACATTAGTAGTTTTGCTTGCCTAAGTGCATTGCAGTTAAGAAGCGCAAGAAGAGTTTATAGTTGCATCATGGTAAGTACGGCGAAATATTTCCCGAATGTCACCCACTATTTTATGCAAAAAAACTAAATATATCTTTATAACTTCGTTAAATAAATCTCTTAAGAAAAAAACAAAANTGCAAAAAAACTAAATATATCTTTATAACTTCGTTAAATAAATCTCTTAAAAAAAACAAAGAATTTTAAATATTTCCAGAATGTCACTTTTAGGTTAAAGGGGATTTTTTATTTAAATAACTGATTTCTCCAAAAGTCTTCAAATAGCATATATTGGAAAAGATTAAACAAAAAACCTGTTTCTAAACTTATTTATTATTTTAGCTTACTTTTATAAAAAGTAACATTCTGGAAAATATTTTACAAAAATTAAAAATATGAAAAAAATTAATTTTTGAAGAGCCTGAAAGCATTTTCGTATTATTTCGATTTCAGAGGATAAATTCAGCAATCTTAAACAAAATATAAAAAATACCTGTCATGCACAATTTGTTTGGAAATGACCCATGTACATATGTAATTGTAATGTGACGAATTCTATCTTAAATAAATTTAAGCAATCTCAAGGAACTTTTTCTTAAAATTTATTTGGATGAATCGAGTAAAAGATCTGAAACATTGCGAAAAAGCAATTGCAATTTACTTATCAGGGCCATTATTTATTTTTATTGGAAGCTTTTGATTTGAATTTTCAGTTAAATTCCCTTTAAACCATTTTCTGACTGCTCAGAATCTATGAGTCTAAAATGAGTATTTCTTTCGTCATAAATATGATTCTGAGACCAGTCAACCAGGCTGACTCATTTCGGGCTCTTTTATAGTCATATAATATTCACGTAAAAGTAAAAGTTGATTAATAATCAGAATTTTAAAGAGTATTTGTTTTTGAGACTCAGACTCTAATGTGACTCTAAACTTGGACTCGTATTGGCGTTGTAGGAAGCGAGATATGATTTTATCTTACTCTTTTTTGAACTCATAATGAGGGTCACAACTCAGAATTCTGAAAGTCCGAATCTTTAGATGGCTGGATATATTTTTTATTAGTTGATTAACTTTATAAAAGGTTTTGTTTTTAATTGCATTATCTTCTATACATATAATAAAATTGTAACAACTCGATGTCTGTACATTATAGCTATTAAAGAAAAATTAATGTGGGGACTAGAGCACCAGAAGCCAAATCAACCATTTTTAGAATTTTCATCTGTCTGTCTGTATGTTTGCACGCGCATCACTCGAAAACGAATGAATGGAATTGAATGCAGTTTTCACCGACTTTTTTGGTAGAGGTCTAACTTAAAATATAGAAAGAAAAAAATTAGAGAGTTGCCACCTGTTTGAAAATTGTAGTTTAAGTAAATTGATACGAAAAAGTGAATATTGCAATATGGGCACCAAAGGAAAGAGGCTTAAGAAGACTTGCTAATAAAAATATCTTTATAGAGTTGCCACCTGTTTGGAAATTTTAATTTAAATTAATTTATAAGATAAATTGAATATTGAAATATTTGTATCAAACTGAAGAGGTTTAGGAAATTTTACTGCCAGAAATATTTTTGAGGAAGGTTGCCAGGGGTTTGAAAAATTGTATTGTATTGATAAAATAAATGAAATCCATATCTATACTTATAAGACAATTTTTATAAGGCCGATGTCTGTACCTTATATATATTAAAGAAAAATGAATGTGGTGGGCTTTTATTAGACCTACAGAAGCCAAATTAAAAATGTTTGGAATTTTTGACTCTGTCCGTCTGTATATTTGTACGCGCATCACTCGAAAACTAATGCATGGAATTGAATACAGATTTCATTGATGTATCGCTAGAGGTCTAGCTTACAATATAGAAGAAAAAAATAGAGGGTTACCACCTGTGTTTAAAATTCAAACTTAGGTCAATTGATACGATAAAGTAAATATTGCAATATGACTGTCAAAAGAAAGAGGCTTACAAAGGTTTACAGCTGAAAATATTTTTGTGGAAGGTTGCCACCTATTTGAAAACTTTAAGTTAATTTAACTGATAACATAAATTAAATACTGCAATTGCAAACTAAAGAGGCTAGAAATTTTAATGCCGAAAATATTTTTAGCGGATTTGCCAACTGCTTGAAAAATTGTATTCATTTAAATTTGTAAAATAATTTTGAAATATTAAAATACGGTCATTAAAGTAAAGAGAATTAGGAAGCTTACTTTTGAAAATATTTTTGAAGCGGGTTGCCACCTATTTGAAAACTTTAATTTAGTTAAATTGATAAGATAACCTAATGTTGCCATATGGGTATCAAACGATGGTATTTGAGAATAATAAAATTGCAACAGGCCGATATCTGTACATCATAGATGTTAAAGAGAAATTAATAGGGGGTTTATTAGATCAACAGAAGCCAAATTTAAAATTTTTATAATTTTGGTCTGTCTGCCTGTATGTTTGTAAGCGCATCACGCACTAATTTAAGTGTGGAATTAAATGCAGTTTTCACCGATGTACATATTTATATTTTTTTTTGTTTTAGTTTATCGTCGATCATTATTCCTAGGTATTTCAATGTATACTTTTTCCAGTGCGTCATTGTTTATATTTGGAGCTAGCAACGGACTGTTCTCAAAATTTCGCCATGATATAACCACGAACTTAATTTTATTTACATTCAATTAAGTGTGTTCAAGCGTAACCAATCGCACTTTTTGGAAATTCAGTGTGGAAGGTTTTTCGCTAAAAAAAAAAAAAACAATCAAAACTTTTTTTTGTTGCTGCCAAAAAATTACAAAGTTGGAGACGTCACGCTTTACATTTTCATACAGTTCTCTGGTTCTGGCAAAANTAGTTTATCGTCGATCATTATTCCTAGGTATTTCAATGTATACTTTTTCCAGTGCGTCATTGTTTATATTTGGAGCTAGCAACGGACTGTTCTCAAAATTTCGCCATGATATAACCACGAACTTAATTTTATTTACATTCAATTAAGTGTGTTCAAGCGTAACCAATCGCACTTTTTGGAAATTCAGTGTGGAAGGTTTTTCGCTNTAAAATTTTTCATAAAAACAGGGTTGAAATCTTGAAATTCCTGCCCGTAGCTTGTTTGTTAGTCAAATATGAGTGGCATTGTGCTACTGTGATAGCGCGGCCGAGTAATCATAGCCAACTNATTAAAAGAAAAATACTGATAAAAATAAAATGTTTCATAAAAACAGGGTTTAAATCTTGAAATTCCTGCCCGTAGC